TTGCAATACTGAAGGATTCTGTGAGCAAAATATTAAATAACACAGGAAACATCAAAAGAAGATGGAATAGGGAGGAAGTGGGAAGAGAGCTATTACATTATGGGGTAGTAATCAATGTCATGATACAAAATGTGCATGAATATATGGAAAATAAATTTGCTCTGTAAACTTCTACCCATATCACAATTTGAAAAAAAAAGAAGAAGAAAAAGATGGAAGGAACACACAGAGTCACTGTATCAAAAAGAACTGGTCAACATTCAACCACTTCAGGAAGTAGCATATGATCAAGAATCAACGGTATTGAAGGAAAAAGCAGCAATGAAGGCACTGGCTAAAGACAAGGCTCCAGGAATTGACAAAATGCCCATTGACATGTTTCAACAAAGGGAAGCAGCACTAGATGTGCTCATTCATTTATGCCAAAAAAATTTGGAAAACAGCTGCCTGACTAACCAATTGGTTGGGATCCATATTTGTGCCCATTCCAAAGAAAGGTGATCCAACAGAATGTGGAAATTATCAAACAATATCACATGCAAGTAAAATTTTGTTAAAGATAATTCAAAAGCACTTGCAGTAGTATACTGACAGAGAACTTCCAGAAATTCAAGCTGGAGTCAGAAGAGGACGTGGAATGTGGGATATCATTGCTGATGTCAGATGAATCTTGGCTGAAAGCAAAGAGTACCAAAAAGATGTTCACCTGTTTCACTGACTATGCAGAGGCATTCAACTATGTGGATCATAACAAATTGTGTATGATAACATTGCAAAGAATGGGAATTCTGGAACACTTAATTGTATTCATAAGGAACCTATACATAGACCAAAAGGCTGTTATTTAAATAGAATAAGGGGATACTACATGGTTTAAAATCAGGAAAGATGTGTGTCAGGGTTGTATCCTTTCACCATACTTATTCAATGTGTATGCTGAGCAAATAATACAAGAAGCTGGACTGTATGAAGAACACAGCATCAGAATTGGAGGAAGACTCATTAACAACCTGCAATATGCAGACAACCTAACCATGCTTGCTGAAAGTGAAAATGAATTGAAGCACTTACTGATGAAGATTAAAGACTACAGTCTGCAGTATGGATTGCACCTCAACATAAAGAAAACAAAAATCCTGACAACTGAGCCAATAAGCAATATCACGATAAATGGAGAAAAGATTGAAGTTGGCAGGGATTTCATTTTATTTGGATCCACAATCAACACTCACGGAAGCAGCAGTCAAGAGATCAGATGTCATATTGCACTGGGCAAATGTGCTTCAAAAGACCTCTTTGAAAGTGTTCAGAAACAAAGACGCCACTTTGAAGACTAACGTGTGACTGACCCAAGCCATGGTATTTTCAATCACCTCATACGCATGTGAAAGCTGGACGATGAATAAAGAAGACCGAAGAAGAGTCGATGCCTTTCAATTCGGGTGTTGGTGAAGAATGTTAAATATACCATGGACTACCAGAAGAAAGAAAAAATCTGCCCTGGAATAGGTACAGCCAGAATGCTCCTTAGAAGTGAGAAAGGCCACACTTTGTGTCACCTATTTTGGTCATGTTGTCAGAAAGGACGAGTCCCTGGAGAAGAGAGTCAGGAATAAAGGGAAAGACCATCAACGAGATGTATTGACACAGTGCCTATAATGATGGGGTTGAGCAAAGCATGGATTCTGAGTATGGTGCAGGACCAGGCAGTGTTTTGTTCTGTTGCACACAGGGTTGCTGTAAGTCTGAGCTGACTCAATGGCACCTAACAACAAGAAGAATCATGAGAAAACCATCAGACATTTTCCAGTTGAGGTACATTCTCCAAAATACCTAACTGGTATTCCTGAAGGCCTCACCAACAAGGAGTCTCAGAAACTGTCACAGCCCAGGAGCCTAAAGAGACATGAGGACTAATTGTGACATGTTATCCTGGATGGGATCATGACACAGAAAAAAGAACATTAGGTAAAACCAAACAACATATGAGTAGAGTTAATACTGTATCAGTTGTTGTTGTTGTTGGTATGTGCCATTGAGTCGGTCCCAAGTCATAGTGACCCCTCCTTGGGTTTCCGAGGCGGTATCACTACCGAAGTAGATTACCCAACCTTCCTTCCAAGGAGTGGCTGGTGGGTTTGAACTGCCAGCCTTCTGGTTAGCAGTCAAGTGCTCTAGGCACTACATTACCAGAGCTCCTACTATATCAGTATTGGTTCATTAATTATGGCCAAGGTACCATACTAATGAAGGTGTTAATAAGTGATGCTTAAAGCCGAAACTGGATGGGGTACATATGGGAACTCACAACTTCTCCAAAAATCGAAAGTGATTTTAAAATAAAAAAGTTTATTTTAAAAATTCTCTTTTAAAAAAATAAAACAACAACAAAACATATGGGCAGCAACTGCTAGTTATCTCCATTATCTAGTCTCCTTTGGTTCGTGAGTAGTAGGGACCTTACCCTCCACTCCTGACTTTTATCTGATAAAGACTACAATTCCCAACCTCTCTTGCAGGTATGTGTGACCAATGGGCTGCTAAAAAGAAGTGATGTGTGTATCTTCTGGAGAAAGATGCCCTTAAAGGAAATTGGCAGCCATGAGCGAGCCACTTTGGATGGTTAGAACAGGGGCAACTCCTACTGCAACAAGGTAGGGACTTGGGTCCCTGCTGACACCACTTCACACTTTTACATGAGAAAGAAATATCTTTCTTCTTTAAGTGTCTGTTCATCTAGGTCTCTGTCACATGAAATCAAACCTATAACCTAACTAACAGAAACAGAAAGAGAACAACTCTCTCCTGTGAAGAGTCGATTTTCATGGTAGGATTTTTATCGAAGAACTGCAATTCTTAATCGATTCAGAAACCTAGAGAGAATATTTAGCTTTGTTTCTGGATTAAATATAGTGCTACTAGTTCATCAAGCCACTTGACTGCTCCACAATCTCTCAAAGACTACCAGGATATGAAGTTACTGATGTCATGGTAGTCTTCCAGTTAAGCTGCTTCTCTGATTAATAAGGCTTTCTCTTTTTTGCCTAAAGTTCATTTCCAGAATAAGACTCTCCAGAATCACATTTTGCTAATACCTCACTTTCTTGTATCAAAGAACCTCTTCAGCATTTTAATTGTAAAAATATTTCTGCTAATCATATTGGGCGAATCTTCATCCTGACGTAGTCTTTTTATACTTCTTTCAAAAATTACTAATTTAAACATTCCTATTTCTGATCATAGTATCTCCATGTTTTTTGTTCAACTTTCCTACTCCGATCATTTTTCTACCTCACTGCCACCTCCAGTCCAATGATACCTCTACTTTCTCCTCAAACAACCAGTCTCATTTCTTTAGTTCCTTTTTTACCTATCTTTTTAACAATACTCTTTCAAACGCCTTAAATTCATTTGCCCCTGTCTTTTTCATTGCATCCATTTGGCCAAACCCCAACCCTGGATGGATCCAATTATCTCTTTTCTCCATGTTTACAGCTAAACACTTGTGGATGGAGTCATGCAACAGGGCAGACTGATTCTACTGTTAATACCTAGTCTCTAAACTCAAATAGGTCCCTCATACTGCCAGGCAAGCCTACTGCACTTCTTTGGTCAACTTACTCTTCTACTCCTTACAACAATTAACAAACCTTCTCTAGTTTCCTCAAAACTTTTATCACCTATACAAAACAGCCTCCAAGATGGCTCCAAATGACCCCCGCCTCCTAACATTCACACTCTTGTAGTTCCCTCCCACATTGTACCAGGTTTATCTGTGATCAACAGAATATAGCAGAAGTGATGATGGTATGTCACTTCCAAGATTAGGTTATAAAAAACACTACAACTTCCCCCTTGGTTCATTCATTCTCTCTCTCTCTCTCTCTCTCTCTCTCTCTCTCTCTGTCTCTCGGCTTACCACTCTGGAAGAAGCCATGTAGTGAGCTGCCCTATGGAGAGGTCTGCATGGAAAGGAACTGAAGCCTCCTATCAATAGCCATGAGAGTGAGCATGGAATAGATCCTCTAGCCCCAGCCCAAGTCTTCAGAAACTGCAGTCCCAGCTAACAGTGTGACTGCAACCTCATGAGAAATTCTGGCTAGAGAACCACCCATCTGAGTTGCTCCTGGATTCCTGACCCTCAGAAACTTTGTGAGGTAACACTTAGAAGTTGCTGTTTTAGGGTAATCTGTTACACCACAGATAACTGATATACATCTGTTCCAAATTTCCCTCTCAGCAGATGGAGCTCACAGCCAACTTTACTGATAATAACAGAAGCCATCAGACAGGAACTCCATCCCACAAATGTGCCTTCCTTTCTCCATAGCCTGCCCTATCCTGTGACAATGGCAGAACCATGGCCCTCCTACTGACGGCCAATCCCTCTCCCGAGGCTCCACCTCCTCCTGCCTCCTTATGAGTCTTACACTATTGATGGCTCTCTTTTATGTATACCCAGCTTCACCCCTTCTACTGTTTTTCTTTTTTTTTTTAAGATTTAATTTGCTCATGGGTGGAGGGGAGAGACAAAGAGAGAAGAGATGACAAGGAGGAAAGGCAAGAAACAGAGCTAGACACAGACACACTGAGAGAAGGAAAAACAGCAGCCTCGTTCAACCTCCCGTCATCTTCTAACTACTACCCAGTGGCACAGACTGCTAACTGTTGCCCAGTATCCATCCTCTTCTCTTTAGTAATAGACCACCACCAGTTTTCTCTTTTGGGGTTAGCAGGATAGTGGAAGACTTTTCTGTCATTCCTTTTGTCAACATTATATGTGCAATGAACAAAATTGCCACTGGAGTGTTTTGAGAACAGAAAAACAGGCTGAAATCCTTGTTTGTCTTAATCACAGGAAAATATTCATATATTTAGATCTATTCTTATCAACCATGCCACCCCTTAAGAACATATGACAATTTCCATCTTTAACAAAGTTTTCTAAAGAGAACACATAATAAAGGATACAAATGCTCCTATGACAAATGTTGGGTTAAAGACATGGTTCTGGAAGGTGAACAGTGTCAGTCCCATGTAGGAGAAGATGAAATTCTCTGCCAAGAAATTGAGAAGCTCAAACAACTGAAACAAAATTTAAAAGGTTAGTCCAGTAACAAAATTGAGTGGCATAATTTGAAAACATGACTCTTACTAAGACAATGAAACAGAAACTTCAAATATGTAAAGCTTATATACAAAAGAACCAAACTAGTTACAATGGAGTCAATTACGACTCAAAGCGACCCTACAGGACAGGACAGAACTGTCCCATACAGTTTCCAAGGCTGTGATCTTTACAGAAGCAGACTGCCATGTCTTTCTTCCACAGCGCGACTGGTAGGTTCACACCACTAGCTTTCTGTTTAGCAGCTGAGCACTTAGCCACTGCGCCATCAAGGCCCATGTCCAAAACCAAAACCAAGGAGCTCTGGTGGTGTAGTGCCTGAGGCATTTGACTGCTAACCAGAAGGCTGGCAGTTCAAACCAAATAATACAAGGAGTATTAGGCAATCTACTTCCATAGTGATACTGCCTGGGAAACCCAAGGAGGGGTTGCTATGAGTCGGATCTGACTCGATTGCACTGAGTACACACCCTAAAATATGTGATTAAGAGGGGAGAGAACATAGAGACAACATATCTAGTCTCACAGAAAAAGCCAGAAATGTTTCTTCCTCACTTGTGTCAATAGGCAGCCCTTCTCCAACTATCCATTTTTGATAAATCTTATTTTCCTCCTCCAAATCCTGCCCATTTTTCTTTTGGAATGTTTCTTTTATCCCAGTCTAGAATGCCCTAGTCCAGCTCTCATCACTTCTTACCCATAATGCCACAAAAGGACCCTAACTGGTATCTCTGCCTCCAGCTTCTCTCCCACCCTCCTATCTCCCACACACCCACCAAGTGATACTATCAAAATGGACATTTCAAAGCATCTCCCTCTTTAAAGGCTCTGGGACACAGTTGAGCTTCCTTCACCTTGGCACAGAGAGCCTCATGCCAGCTCTTGTATCACTGCCTTGCTGTGTGGTGGGTTCACTTTTCACCAAGGTCTTGCCCCTCATTTAGGGAGCAAGCCTCCTATGCACAGGGCCTACACATTTCAGGCCCGTGTCCTGGACCTCCCTTGTTTCCTGCCCACCCACTTTCACATCAGCCTAGCCAAGCATTACCAACACAGCAGGGATGAGACTTGCTGAATAAATGAATTTAAGGCCCTCCAAACCTGGCATCCCTCTCTCCAACATAGTTATCTACCACTGTTCCTTAACCGGGACACTGTCCCACAAACACTGGACAGTGTTAAGAACATGGGCCTAGGAGTCAAAACGCCTCAGCTTTAATCTTGTCTTCCCCACTTGCTGGCTGTGTGGCTTTGGGCAAGTTATTTAATCTTTCTAATCCAAAATGGGAATAGAAATGGAATAATGTATTTAAATTAAAATTATTCAATATACTGATTATTACTATTTACTTATTTAAGGATAACAGCTAAACTTTATCAAGTTTTTTACTACATGTCATAAAATACGTTAAGGACTTTAGATGTACTGTCTTGTTTTAATCTCACAGTAACTCCTTAAGGTAGGTACTATTATTATCCCCATTTTAAAGGTGAGGAGACTGAACTGTTGAGATGTTATGTCACTTGCCCAGATCATACTGCAAGCAAGGGTGGGGCTGGGCTTTGAAACCATACAAATGACTCCAGAGTCCATGCTTTAAATCACTATACCAGCAGCTGGCACACTTTTTCTGCAAAGAGTCAGACAGTAAATAATTTAGGCTTTGTGGACCATATAATGGTCTCTGTCACAACTACTCCTCTCTGCTACTGCAATGCCAAAGCAGCCACAGACTGAGCATAAATACATAGGCATGGTTGTGTTCCAATAAACCTTTACTGATAGACACTGGAATTTAGATTTCATGTAACCATCACATGTCACAAAATACTATTTTTCTTTTGATTTTTTCCCTCTACCATTTAAAAATATACAAACCACTCTTAGCTCCCAGACCTTAGAAAAACTAGATGTGGGCAAGATTTGGCCCAAGAGCCTTAGTTTGCCAACCTCTACACTGCAGCTGTGCAGTGCCTCAAATGCAGGCTGAAGGGTATAATCTTATCTGGATCAGACAGCAGTAGCTCTAGGAAGATCAGAAGTTAATCTTACCTGTGTCACACAGTAGTAGCTCTAGTTAGACCAGAATGAAAACCAAACCAAACCCACTGCCACCAAGTTGATTCTGGGTTTCTGAGGCAGTAAATCTTAATGGAAGTAGATTGCCCATCTTCCTTCAGTGGACTGGCTGGTGGGTTTGAACCACCAACCTCCACCAACCTTCTGGTTAGCAGTCAAATGCTTTAGGCCCTGTGCCACCAGAGCTCCTTAGTTAGAACAGAATGAGCTCCCAAACACTGCCCGCAAGACGATTCCAACTCGGAGTTTGATTTCCAACTCATAGTAATATTACAGAATAGAACAGAATGCCCCACCGGGTTTCCAAGGCTATTAAATCTTTATGGAAGCAGATTGCCACATCTCTCTCACACGGAGTGGCTGGTGGGTTCAAAGTGCCAACCTTTTGGTTAGCAGTGCAATGCTTTAACTGCAGTACCACCAGCGCTCCTTAGCCATTCAATTGGAAAAAACACTAAGAGGAAAGGAAGCCAATGGACTAGTCACTGCAGCCACAATCCTAACAGCTCCTGGCTATTCTGCTGACCCACTGTCACACTAAAAACTGCCAGCTTTCAACTAGCTTGATCTATTTTTGGAGTTAAAGGAAGAAAAGCAGAAATGAACAGATACTGTTTTGAACAGTTCAAAGATTATTTGGGGGTTAAAAAAAAAGACTTCTCTTATGCTGAGAGGAAAAGTTTATTCACAAACTATCAAGTTTTTCTTACCTGTTTTGTTCTATGTTGAGACTCCGTGGACAAGTTATTGTATGTATAATGTGCCTGTGTGATGCCACAGAACAATACTGCAACCACACCTACAAAGACAATGAGTTCCAAGTGCACATGAAAGGACAGGTCCCAACTTTTTTTTACTGAAGGCTCTTATTGTAGAGAAGCAGGTTCTATGCTTGTATTAAAATTTTAATTTGTGACTTATTTTATCAAGAGGAACTACTTACACTGAAAATCTTTTTTATACTTTAAAGTGACAGTATAAACCCCAGCCATAAGATGTGTGTTAAAATACTAAGAGTTTGTCCACTTGTCGGACAAGGGACTGGTAAAATCACGTGTTGTGAGGGTTTAAAATTATAAAGAGGAAATAACTTACCTGTGAAACCCCATGCTTCAGCCAAGAGGAAAGTACTCCAGGACATCAAGAAGAACAGGCCAGTCTCCAACAACTGGAACTCCCGTAATTTGGTGAACTTTGTTACGTAAGACTGTTAAGGCTGGTGACAAGCTCTCATAATAAAGAAGTGTGGCTAGAAAAATAACAGCAAAGCAACCATAAAAAAAAAAGGGTCCTCTAATCATTCTAACAAAACAGTCACAGAATGAGGAGGCAGCAACATGAAGCAACTCTTCAAATGAGCATCTTGCTAAGACGTTGTCAGCAGCCTCCTTCAGTGAGTTTTATGGGCAACATGCACCGTGCAGAAAAGGACAGGAAGATACCAGAGCCACACATATCAGATACCTAACATGTGCACTCCATTAATGTGCAACCCAAAGCAAGACCAAACCAAACCAAACTCAACGTCATTGAGTCGATTCTGACTCATAGCAACCCTCATTGGGTTTCTATGGCTGTAAATCTTTATGGAAGCAGACTGCCTCATCTTTCTTCTGTGGAGCAGCTGGTGGGTTCAAACCACCAACCTTTTGGTTAGCAGCCAAATGCCTTACCCACTATACCACCAGAGCTCCTTAAAGCAAGACAGCTTGCCTAATTATAGACATTTCCATTGATAAAAACAAGTAACTTCCATGTGATTTCACATTTATTTTCTCCTCTAACCCTCTGTGAGATAGGCATCTCATGAGGAAGAAACTGAGGGACTTCACTCACTTATACTAGTCCCAAAAGTGTTTCTTCAATGACAAGCGGTAGTGGCCATTTTAAGCTGTGAACAATCTCAGGCTAGAATCCAGATTCAGTGTAACAAATGTGTACTACAACAAAAAGATTAATAAGATATATGCCTACTCCCCAGAAACCTGTCAGGCAATGAGGAAGAGATACTATCTGTCCTGGCTCCTGCTTCAGAATTCTTCCTACCGCCCCTACATGCTTTAGTTCGCCTGTAAAGTCCATAAAACAAGTCTCTTCCAGCACAAGCCAAGCTCAGAGAGCCTCAGGAAATAACGTAGTTGCTTTGTGTAATAGTGTCTTTTGAGCTCATCTTGTCTCAATCACCTCTCCTGCTGTGTCTGCCCCCCACTTCCCTACACCAAGGTCCAAAGAGGTGAAGTGTAAAAGCTTCCAACATGCTTGTGTCTGCTGTGCTGCTGTGAACACCATGAAGGCAGGTCCATGTTCATCTTGTTCATCTTTGAAACCTAGAGCCTAGTGTAGCATCTGGCACATAGTAGGCACTCAGTAAATATTTCTTGAAGGAGTAGAAGAATGACTGGCCCAATGTTTCCAATGGTTAATCAGTGGTAGTGCCATGACTACAACCTAGGTCCCTTTAGCTCCCAGCCCAGGATTCTAGCACTGTCATTGTTGCTGTTAGGTGCCGTTGAGTTGTCTCCAATTCATAGCGACCCTATGCACAGCAGAATGAAACATCACCCAGTCCCGCACCAGCTCCACGATCCCCGCTATACTTGAGTCCATGGCCACAGCAGAAAGGTTAAAATCGGGGAGAGCTGAGATGTACACCCATATATCCTAACCCAGGAACCGCATTTTGTTCACTTGGCATCAGGTCTTACATTTCCTGTTTGCACTATTAAACAAAGAGCAAAAGATTGCCAGTCTGAGCAGGAGCACAGAACACACAGAAGCTCTTTGAACTGTCTCTACCTTTATATCAATTTAATCTACAATCTTAAACTTTACCCTCAAAGGGTTCTCACATCTAGTTAGACTTTTGTATCTAAAATTTTAGGGCACTGAGCCCTGTGCAAAACAGTGAAGTTTATTTATTTATTGGTAAATATTGTTACCTAATGTTTTCAAACATGGTTACAAAGTTAATAATTATACTACTCTTCCAATTATGGAATTAGGAAAAAACACAGAATGGACCGTTCAACTACTTCACCAGAGGAACACAAAAAGACAAAATGCCATTCAAGGATATTAAAGCTGTCACCACTCCAGTAGCAGCACCCATCGCAAAAGAGCCGCTGAAGATCCCAAGGAAAATCCCAATGGACTTGAACATGGCTGTGACGTCAAAGGTGTGACTGTTGTCTCCAGCTGGCTGGTAGGCCACTATTGAGCTACAAAAGAGAGATTGCTCATACTTCTACAAGCAACTTGTACTTTAAAAACTGTTATCTAATATAGCGTTTGAATGATGAAATCTGAGCAGAAGAGGAAACTTTGAATTCTAATTGCTAAAATAAGGACAAAAGGCTATTGTTAAAAAAAAAAAAAAACAACCTTCAGTGTATCCAGCTAGCAAGAAAACTCAGCTGTTACTTAAATGACAATTCCAGGAAGCAGAACATTTTAAAGCCCTCTACATGAAAGCTGGATCGAGCCTTTTCCTGCATCCTCAAGACACCATGCGGCACTATTCTTTCATGTCTCTGTTTAAGACTGCCTAGGGCCCGAGGGCCTAAGTGCCTCAAAACCCTAACATTCTAAAGTGAGCAAACGAATGACAAATTCCACTTATTCCCAGCAGAGGCCTAAGAATATAAAGAATATTGTGCAATACTACAAGTCATCACGGGTTGTTCTTCCTATGGGGAAAACAAAGGTGACTGAAGTGCCTTTTCAACCTTTAGAATATCAGAAGGGGCCAAATGCCTAGTATGTATTCACTCACTGAAATGGACTTCTCTAGATAGGAAAAGGGGGTATGAAAGGCTTCCAAGGAATTCAAATCCATTCAACGATACTTTTAGTGTACCTAGCTGGGTCTTCCACACCAAACTTCTGAAAGAACGTAACTCTGCCAAGGCCAAGGCAGGCAGTTACAGAAAACTCTCTCCATCTTGAACTCACAGTCCAACTCTGGTCTGTGAAGGCGCCTTCTCTAGCAGCAACCCCAGAAAGAAAAACAGCTGAGAAACTCACCGCTGCCAGCAGGTCTCTGGCCACAGTGCTCGCTGTGACTAAATCAATTCTCCTCTCAGGTAACGGAGGTACCAGTGTTATAAAAAGTCCTGACTCAAAGACATCATACAAGTCGTGTCAAAGAAGAGGAGAGCGAAAACCACATTCCTAAGAATATAATGAATTCTCCCTGTGGTTTCTGCAATGTCTTTCTGGTCAAAGGCGAGAAGTAAATATGCTTGTGACAGCTTGCTATACTGTGTACACCAATTTCTTTTCATATCTCCCTTACTTTAAGTTTTTTTTAAAAAAAAAAAAAAAAAACTAAGACCAAATTAAAATTCCCTAACCTGTATGTATTTTATTGAAATATACCACTAACATTAACTTCTGGTGGTTACATTTAGAAATTTCCGAGGCTCAAGGAAAACTAAAAAGTTTAAACAACACTGGGTTTAAATGTTCCAAGTAACCCATTCATTTGGGGGACAGTAGATTTGATACTGTTTTAATAATACAGAATGGCCTTTAATATCATGCTACCTTACCTACACATAAAGGGCCCCATGACGTAAATGAGATTTGACCACATTAAAATATAACAATATAGCAGCTGGCTGGAGAAAAGAAAAGACAATCAACAACCTTCTTTCTCCCTGGCCACATTTTTCAAAATACTGGCTGGAAAAAGACTCTTTCTATGCAACATCCTTTAAAAATACATCAAAGAAAAATGAAAGCTGATGATAAACATACTGTTGAGTCATCCCAGCAGTAGCGTGTTTGCTCACCTCCATTAAGACATGTACACAGCTAACAATTCTCTTAGGATATGCTCTGGATATAAGCTTTCTCCTCCAGAGTTCCACCAGGGTACATAATGACTTTACTGATCTCCTAGGCATCTCGAATGGTACTGGCTGCGTACCATCCTTCAGAGAAGTGAGAAAAGGGTCATTCAAATCATTTTTCTAGGTTTCATTCTCACATGGAACCCTCCCTGAAAAAGGCTGCAATAGAAGGATGAGTGTGTTCCTTTGTGAGAGGTGCTATGAGAAGAGCATTCTCTCTTTAACGGTTATTCTTCACCAACACTGCTGTGTATACTCCCAAGCTCAAAACCTTTCAGTGAGCTTTTTTCCTTTAACACTCTTCAAACGTTCTTACAACTGTTAGGCGGTTACTCTATTCACGGCAAAGCTGAGGCACAGGGTACATCAGCTTCACACCGGATCAGAACAGAGACTTTTTTCTTCTTTATCCATTAGGACAACGAGAAAGGAACACACTGTAATAAGATGACCAAGTTGCATGATAATTTTCCAGGAAAGGGAACTGATGTTCAAACCAACTGCCTGGACCTTATTCTCTACACTCGGTAGCACCAGTGATCTCGTATGTATCTGTGTTCTGAAAGCTTCAACAATCTTTACAGCCTCATTTCTTCCCTCATTTTTTCTACAACATATAAAACTTTTCTTTTGCATCTATCGTCATTGAAGGGGCTTACGTTCAGTATCAATATGAGCTACAGCCTTTGGGGATTATTTCTTAAATTAAACTTATATTAGCAAAAAAGTATTATATTATTTATAAATAGCTGGAAAAAATTCTGACAATATATCTATGCAGGGGGGAGTGTGCCCATGACCATATACAGGGTTGGTAGACAATGTTTCTACAAGTGTATTTGTATGTTCTGTAAGAATTTCCATATATATACTAGAGCTGACAAGGGACAAGGTTGTAGTCACTTCTCGGCCACAGCCAGCTACCCAGAGGGACTGAGTAGTTGGACTGTGGGCTCAGGACCATGGCTGCAGGGAACAT